AATTTAAAGGTTACCTTCTGAAATATGATCATTGCTAGCTTTATCATTCACATGTCGCTCATCATCATATACAAAAGAAAATTGTGGCATATTTTCATTGACTATAGATTCTTTTATTTCTAAAATGTTTCCGACACTGGATAAGGATTGGTTTGTATTACTCTTACTATCTGGTAACTTATCGATATTGGATATGTCACATATTAAACATTTCCAATTATGCGATCTATGATGCAAAGACAATAAAAATAAGTATATCAGAAATTGAAATGAAAAAAAAATTTTAATGCATACTTTCGTGCTAATAATTTTCTTTCGGCCTCAGTATAATCAATTCCACCGATTGCACCATTAGCTATTATGAAGTATAAGTTATATAAATATTAGAAAAAAATTGAATTTTTTAAATAATTACTAACCTTTGGTTGTCATGAAACCAATCAAACCCAAAAGAACAGTGCGGACTTTGAATAATATTTGATTAGAAAATAAACTCTACCAATTTCAACATTATAGTACGAATAGTACTTACTTCCCCAAGCTGGTAGCCAATATTCTGGATGATATCCAGTGATACTTAAACAAATTTTTTTATTTAGTTCAAATCGACCGTTTGGCTATATAAATATAAGGCAAATTAGTAACAATAGATTCTTCATTATAAAGGAATAGTTATTTAAACGTACAGTTAAAAGCATTAAATTAGGTGGTTTGAAAGGGTATTCAGAAGGCAAAAGAATGCGCCCATGATACCTATAAACGAAATTGATTTTGGAAGTTAATTATAAAATAATTTTTAGCATAGTGTATTATAATAATAAAGAAAGATACCTTCCACCTTCAAATTCGGTACCATCAGGCCCGCGGATCACAAAATGCCATTCAAAAAGATTATCCTACATAATAAATTCAAATGAACAAAGCATTTCAAACAGTGATAGGAAAGTAGTGTGTGAGCTGGCCTATACCTACCTCTAAAGGTTGTGCAGTGTAGTCGCAACAACTATCTTGTTGTAATTCTCGAGCTTCTTGCAAAAGGCGCTTCACAGCTATTTATCAGTAAACATATAAATCAGTAAATAATATTAAAAGGTTTTGGATATAATAGTTAGCTAACCTGGACTTTTTAGATTGTATTCGGCCATTAGATTCTTGGAAACTTTTAGATTCTATATTAACTACAGTATTAAGAATTTTGGTTGGTTAAAATTAACTCCGTGTGCTTAATTGATCTAGGTATGTTAATCGGTCACTCGGAAAAAATTTTCGGATATATTATGATATGATTAGTAGTTTAGATACCGGTAACTGACTCGACAACTATCTAACTAATTTTGATGACTTTTTTTTTTATTGAATTCTACACTTATGTAGAATTCGAATAAAAAAAATCAAAATTTGTTTAGTAGTTGTTGAGAAACCTTTACTCAAAGTTAGAGAAAATTCTTCATGCCTATAAACAAGTTATTTTTAATTTTTTTGAAAACTTTGAGCGAAGGTTTTTCAACAACCACCTAACCAATTTCGATATTTTTTTTATTTTTATTCGAATTCTACAATTATGTAGAATTCGAATAAAAAAAAATTAATTGAAATTTGTTTAGTGGTTGTTGAGAAACCTTCGTTCAAAGTTAGAGAAAATTTTTCTTATCTATAAACAAACAATTTTTTTAATATTTTGAATTCTAAATAATTGTAGAATTCAAATAATAAAAAAAATATTTGTTTATAGATAAGAAGAATTTTTTCTAACTTTGAGTAAAAGTTTTTCAACAACTACTAAACAAATTTTGATGATTTTTTTTTTTATT